CACCCCGCCTGCCTGCTTGCTCCCAACTGCTCATCCCTACCAGGCTGCTTGCCCCCAACTGCCCTCCTCTGCCAGCATAATTGCCCCTAACTACCTTGGCCCTGCCACCATGGCTTTGTCCAGAATGAAGTCCGGAAGGTCTACCGGTCTAATTAGTATATTAACCTTTTATTAGTATAGATATATTTATTAATTTTGATTTCTCAGGTAGAATAAAATTAGTTGGGGAAGAATAAAATTACTGAACAAGGAGAATATACAAGCTATTAAACTAAATTTCCCTTTGCAAATTAAAAAATTTAGCACTTTAGTTTATCAATTAGTCCTTTGTGGGTTCAGTTTTCATGAATCATTTCAGTAACAACAGATCACACTTGCCAGTTCTAATTCTATTTTTCTATATATATAAAACATTAAATATGAAAATGAACAGAAAAGCGCTATACAGAAGCCCAAGGGGAAAAAATTTGGTTACATTGCTTCTGCAATAAGAAAGGACCATATAAATAACTAATCTAAGAGGTTTATTTTACAAAACAAAAACTAAAACCTTCCTATCAGTAGCATGATCCTTAAAAGTTTAAACTTTTATCCTCAGTGATATTTTAGCAAATATATCTTATAAATCCTGACATTTAATTATATTGATTTTTAACTCATGAAGCAGTGAAGCATATTTCAAGAAAATATAAGATAATTGATATGAAATATTATTATTCAGCACTTTATTATTTAATTGTTTTTACTAAACTAATAATGTAGGACCATATTTGATGACTAAGTATTTTTCCTTTCAACATAGTAAACACTTGTATAATTATGACATTTTTAAATGGTTAAATGTTTTGCTATTTTAATTCAAATCCAGTATATTATATATATTCAGAAAGCAAACTATTCATCTTCATCTAACCCTTCAATTAAACTCCACAATGCAAACTTCTTGGCACTAGAACTATGCTTCATGTTTATTCAACTGAGCCTGTGTCTTGAAAAAGTGTTGATGTTTGGGGGTTTTCTGGTGAGAATCCACATTCTGACATCACCTTGACCGTGACAGTGATTGGCTGTTGGAAGGCAAAAGAGAGTTTATAGCCAGCAAGGGCGAGTGAATGAGTGAGTGAGAGGACAGAGGAAATCCTCAATCTGTGCCACTCACTCCTGTGAGCCTGCCTCTTCATTCCAGGACTGCACACGGGTAAGATTTAATATGACAGCTTCGTTATCTTAAAAATCAAACAGTCCATGTTTTACATTTCTGGACTTGGCTTTACATTTTTTTATTTAAATGTTGATATTATTGAACTGTATAGAATGACTATGTAATTTCATACTTGTTTACCATTAAATTAGTACCTCAGACTTGAGATTTTTCCCTCCAAAAGACTGAGCTTATTAACTAGACAAGTATGCTTCCTGCTTTCTATCTCTGCATCTCATAGATAACTGTTTATTTCCTCATTCTGAGACGGTCAAGACAACCTGAGTGAATTCTATTTTGCATTTGCAAATCTGACTCATTGTATGCAGATCACTCCATAAGTTATGCCTAATTAGCATTTCCATTATATAAAATCTTTTCAATACATTACACATTCAGTTTCAAAGTGTTACTATCCTATAGCTCTGAAATCAGCATGGAAAAATATTTAGTACTAGAGAAATAGATGATATTGGTGGTTTATTGTACTTTTCGCAACAAAAACTTGTAATCAGAGTCACAAAACTATCCTTTAAGAATATTTAAATTGTTGTCTGGGTTATTATGGTCAATATAGAGGTCTTTGCTTTTGCTGAATTGCAAAGTAAATAAAATGAGATTTATGTAGGCAGCCAGTTGTTGCCTACCTGAATATCTCGGTTCTTTTCATATTGTCCCTGCTATGTTTTCATCTAGTTATCTTTATGGTTTGTTCTAAGAAATTTACATAATAAAAACTCTTTCTATAGTCCTATGTACTTAACTTTTTATCTCTTTAAGATATTATTAATATCCCAACTCTTTTTCATAAAGCTACAGAATAACAATCTTTCTGTTTTTTGGGAGGGGGTGGTGGTGGTAGGGGGGCTGGATTATAGCTGGCAAAGTTCAAAGTATTATTCAGAGCACCCCAAGGACAATGAAAGCTTCTTAAACAGATGAACCCCCTTCAGGGGCAAGATCTCTTTATCCAGTGTGACCACCAAGAACTTTTCCTAAAGTAGGAAAACTGTGAGGAAATGTGTCGGCATCAAAATCAAAGACCCACTCTGCCACGAATAGAATGTGGCTTAGGACCCAACAAGTTCCTTCAGGCCTCAAACCTTCCCTGATGTAATGTTTACTTTTAGCGTGAGATACCCAGAACGGATGCAATAAATCTTGTGAATGGTGACAAAATGCAAATCAACCTCCATGGTACAGTATATACATGGGTTTTACACATTTTAAATGTAACTTTTCCAAGTGTGCCTACAGGGAAATTGCCATCACCGTTACATATTGCTTCTAGAAGGTAGCAAAGCTGTCGCTCTGACTGAGAAAGCACTCACTGTTAAATGTGTATGTCAGTGCCAGTGGGTGGGTGTTAGTAGGCTGTCAGCTAGTTCATGCAGCCTCTATTAAACTGGGTTTTATCAAATACAATTCAATTAAGGTAGGATTTCACTAATTCTCTTCCCTTTACTGATGAGGATTCCACGTGGAACTGAAATCTTTACACGGCTACAAACCCCAAGACTGTTCAGGAATTACTCCCACTCTGAGAGTGGCATCTTCAGTTCCCTGACAGCAGAAAACCCCTGACCTACCCCATGACAGACTCCCCTACTAGTGACAGAAAGCTTAAATGGAGCTGGAGAAAAACCTAATTTAAGGAAATTTGCCCCCGATATTTTAAGGTGACACTCTGATGAACTCTTCCCACAGCAACATCCTAAGACATGGCTGTTGGTGCAACATGCTATGAGAATAGTACTTCACATATTATGGATCACTCCACACACACACAAAGATACCGAGTATTCTAAAATATTCATAGGAAAATGGTGCCTCGCCTCAATTTTACAAATGACATTTTAGTTCAAAAGCTGCATAGAAGTTGGAAACACCTGTAGAATCATTGGCATGAAAACAATCATTTCAATGTATTCAATTTTTGCTTTGTTTTTAATTAAAAAGAAAAGAAACAGATCTCATAACCACACTAACAATTCAATTCACTTAGCTAATAATCCTATGTCAGTGATTTTAGGAGGCCTACCAGCCCCAGTGTGACGTATGCTAAGCATTCATACCCTTTGAAGTGAAGAGATGGTCTTCTAGTGACACATCATAGCAGATAGGTTAAGACCAAATATGGGACTCAAGATTATTTAAACAGGTGGGTACAGTCAGTCTTCTATCCCTTAAATAAAAGGAGCAAATTTTAAACAAAAGCAGAAATTTGGTCATAATTACTCAAAAGTATAATTGGGGAAAATGAAAACAAATTAAATATGTCATCACCTAGTATGAGCAAAAAAAATTGCGCTTTTATTTTTAATATTTATTAACTTTACCACTTCATTAATTCCAGAAGCAATCACCAAAATGAAGACTGCTTTAATTTTGCTCAGCATTTTGGGAATGGCCTGTGCTTTCTCAGTAAGTTCTTTATTAAAAACGTATACTTATTTCCATTTTTATCTTTTTTATGTCAATGAGAGGATATGTAATAATTAAATATTTTTTAAACAGATGAAAAATTTTCACCGAAGAGCCAAATTAGAGGATTCTGAAGAAAATGCGGTAATTAATTTTAGCATACTTCCTTGGCCTGACTACACTTACTCTGGGTGTATTTGCACATTAAACATGAATATATATTTATTTTGTTTATGCAGGTTTTTAAGTACAGACCACGGTATTATCTCTATAAGCACGCCTACTTTTATCCTCCTCTAAAACGATTTGCAGTTCAGGTAAGTATAAACACTAATTTTTCTTTTTACCCATTTCAATTGAAAGAGAATCA